GGAGAAAGAGAGTATGTTTGCTTGACTCGAGGTCCAGCAGGGAGGAGTTTGTGATGATGAAAAGTGCGATCCGCATTTTGCGTGCTGTACAGTCGGCTTTTAGTCTTTGAAATGATGATTCATATGGGAATCAACAAAGAAAAGCATGGATAACTAGCTTTCATGATTATTTTGAAGGATGTATTAATTTATCTCGTTGTCGGACTTGCCAGAAAATAGAAATTAGGACCATCCGCACAATTCCTACTGTGTTCTAATGTTGAGTTTAGTCTCAAAAATGTTGCGTGAATAGAGACACTTAAGCAATTTGTTAATGTTTCCAATTAGCTTTTCAGAATCTTTTGTCTGATTTTATATTTTAATGTCAAATTCCTTAAAACAGTGGTGACAGTCCTTATTTTCAGAGGCAAAACCAGAAGTATCATCGAAGCGACGTTCGAATGGAGCTCAGGATGGTTTTATCAATGGCGTTGAACAGGTGAATGGATTTGGAGCTCGTGGTGATGAACGCCGCCAGGTGCGTGGTGCTAAAAGTTACGGTACTCAACGTAATGACTTTGGGAGTGGCGGTGCAAAAGGAGGTGATTTTGGAAAAGGTCTAGATGCTGAACGTGGTCGCACTGGTGGTGGCAGTAGACGTCAGGAACGTGATAACTATGATGGCCCTCGGAACTTTCGTGGCGTACCTCGCAACAGCGGTCGAGGTTTTGGTAGTTCAGGTGGTCGAGGTGGTGCTTCCAATTTGACACCGCGTGGTTCCGGTTTTCGAAATGCCAGTAATAGTAACAACAATCAGATGAATGGCGGTTTCAAGGGTAATGGTAATGGCGGAGGAGGACTTAGCGGATGTGGATATAACGGACCACCGCAGCCGCCGCGTCGTCAGCTGGGATTCAATTTTGCTTCAGATACATTCTGAATATAGCTATATCAACGATATGATTCATTTTTTTATTTGAGGTCGTATTTTGAGGAACAGATGAATTATGTGGCACCGTTAACGCTTTATTTTGATTTTTGAAAGAAAAAAGTTTTTCTCTGCAGATTTTTTTCTCTTTGTTTTAAGACTTAACCAAAATTTCTGGTTTTTGTTCACCTCGTCATTGTTTCCTCTTTAAAGCGCGGCTCTTTCAGTGTGTATGTTTATTATTTTAAGCTTTCTTTATCATCGTCCTTTTTCCATCCCTAAAATCTTTCCTCTTGATATTGTGAATTGCAATTATTGTAAAACAAGTTTTTGTGGTTTTTTCTAGTGGAGTTTCTCCAATTCTAGCCTAGCAAAACTCCCTCAGGAATCGCTTTTTTATTACTTCTTGTGAAAACATCCTTTGGTAAAATTTTTCGCAACTTCTGATGAATCTTGAAACGAGATTTCTTTGTGAATATTCATTTGCAGAAAAAAAAAGAAGTTTGAAACCATTTCTTGCCGAATTTTCCTGGAGTTCTTTTCATAAAATTCTCCCGGGCTTTTTCAATATACCTTCTCTGGTATTCATTTCCAGTGGGACTTTTTGGGATCACTTACCAACGACTGCCGTGGGTTTTGCTTTACACAGGTTATCTTGAATAATGTTTTGGCGCAGTTGATCATGATAACGGTGATCTATGCATGAGTAAGTCTGCTTGTACATGTGTGTATGTGTATGTCTACATATGTGTGTGTATGTGCACGCGTCTGTATGCGCATGTATGTGTGTACATGGGTGTGTATGTATGTATGTGTGTATGTGTATTCACGCCTGTCGATACAAGTTCGTTTCGCATGATCGACCATATCATTCATGTTATAACTGCTATTGATTGTTCATCGTCCTCTCGTATTCGTTCCGAAAGTTTTAGCATCAGAATTAAAAGTGTTCGAGCGTGTTTTAAATCTACTTGTTTATTGTAATGTGAAATGGAGTTGAAAAAGATATTTTTGAACTACGTCAAAAGTGATGTCACTTTGGCTATAAACATTTTTGGGTCTGTAAGGATTGGAATGGAACCGCCGAAAATTCTCAATTCACAGGTTCCATTTAGTGTAAAAGGTGTCTTTTAATGCTTGATACTTTTCCAAATAGAAATAATGCAGTAAAATCCTGCAAAGTGATTTAACAGCTGGAATGGAATGGTGTTGATGTGAGTCATTGTTGTCGAACAGTTGTATAATTTAGAGCGAACGGTTGAATTTGTAGTGCCAGAATTCTGTTGGGGAACTACAGGATCAACAAATTGGATATCTAAAAGAGTGGTACAAACTGTTCATTCAGTTGCAGTTGACAATTATTGATGCTAACACTAAAGGGAATATATAAAGCATCCTGTGACATGTATGATACATGAAACAAAATTTTGCCATAAAAAAAGTAATTGATAAAGCCTGGTCAGAAAATGATGTACTTGTCGATTCTGGTAAGCGAAATCGGAACCATTTTCTAATATATCAATTCGAACTTCGATCTTGTAGTTTTGATTCAAAAATTCGAATTTCCTGCCAGGCGGGAAGAATGCTTATAGCGTGGTAGTGCTATATGATAGTACTATCATCTTTCGAATCTTTTTTTTTTTTCTAACTTGTCGGATACCTCTGCTCTTATTGCTGATAAGAAACGAACGAGAACAATCATGCAATACAATCAAATTGTGATATGAAATGAAGGAATAATTTAGAAAAGGAATCTTCGTGCTTCCTTTGATCATCTCATCATCATCACTATCATTATCACTATCACTATCATCGTTCCCATTACGTATGGTACTTTCTTAAAGTCTCTTTGTAGCATCTAATTACTACCACTAATTATTACACTGTCAAGATTTCAATGAAAAAAAATCTGTGCATACTTTTATCAATTTCATTTTTATGAATATACCACGTAAAATATTATGGACAAAAAAGAAATTGGAAAAATTTTATGAGTTTGATGGTTGTTGTCGTTATCATTATTATCATTTACTACTATTATTATTATTATTATTATTATTATTATTATTAT